TTATAATTACAGATGGAAAGAAAGTAACGAAGTTAAGTTACAGTTACTGAAAAAAAGTAACTCTAACTGTAACTTCGTTACAAGTAACGAGTTACTTCTCATCCCTGGTATACATATATGCCATATATTATAATATGTATATCTATAACACATCACAATGTCGTTAGAAATACCCGTGACAAATTTTTTATCTTGACTTTAAATAAAATAAATCATGTAGGAAACGGCTTCTGCATTTTCTTCTTACATTTTTGTATCTGCGTTCCGTTAAGGCATATTTTCATCATTACAACGAGGTTATTAACTATGCATTATTAACATGAAATCGATATACTTTCATTAACGGTAAGTTTTCTACAATCATTCTCGCGTATTCACCATGCGAATATAAATCGCCTACTTACTACACACAAGGTCAAGGCAAACATAATTACGAGAGTAGATACATAATAGGAAACTAGTAAAATAAGTTTTCGCCCTTTTTCGCTGACAATGAGAGCGATTGTTTCGGGTAGTAAAACTGCACCGAATTTATCCAGATTGTCTACATTGAAGGAATATACATTTGCACGTGTTATAATACACGCGTTTTACTTATTAGATATTATATAAGAATCGCGATTAAAGTTGTGTGTTCGATCAGTGTAAAGTGAAAAACGTTTGATGAAGTGCGCCGCTCATTCAGTTTATGAAACAAAATGCTTAATAAAAGTGATATGAAAAAATGTCATGACAAATATAAAACGATAGATATACCTAAACCTTTGTATACTTCAAGTACAATAATAATGCAATAACAATAAAAAAAAATGCGACTAAAATAAACGTACCGATTTTTCGTCGACCTAAACCTTTCTTAACCTTCGTTAAAGATTACTTGTGTAAAAGTTATATTTTTTGTTTCTCTTTTCTTTGTTAGTATAGTCCTTGCGTGCATCTAACTAAAGTAATCATCAATTAGCCATACTACACTGTATCATACGCGCGAATCGTTTTATAATTTATTTATAAGTTTAACCTTTCGACACACGGTATATATAATGTGAAGTGATGTGTGATGGGAGAGATAAAATATAAAATATATAACCGGTATTATAGGGAAAAGATATTACACACAAATGTGTGTAAAATTTGCACCGAGTTTTAGCCGTATTCTTCAGCACAAATTAAAAATCTATACTTTCACTATACGAGAATTTAAACTTCAACATAGTTACACGAGGTTATTTAACATTGAAAATTAAAAGATTCTGCCGAGCTCAAGTTTGACAAACAGACAACGAAAGTTTGTTCTTTATTTAATTCTAGGTTCACCCTGTTTTAATCAGATCTTAACTTTGTTATCAGGATATCTAGCAAAATCATGAAAATCCCAAAGTTATTGAAAAAATGGAATCTAATCAAACTTTGCACCGAAAGGAAAATCGTTAAAAAAAATATACAAAACATTAATGTTTCATGTGGAAACCACAATCAAAGTCAAAATTATGTACATCTTTCGATTTTGTTATTCACTCTCTTGACTAATGAAAAATTTTTTATAACATTATTTATAATGAGAAATATAACTATTATATAAATATACACTATTATGCAAAATTTAAAGTTTACGACGAGAGTAGCAGAGTACATTTTTATACAATTTCTCATCGAATACTATAACCAACGTCTTGAGACGCTAGTCATGTAATCCGCGGAAAATCGAATTACACGGAAGCCTCCGCGAGCTGCAAGAGCATGCCAAACCTAATTCGTGTTTCTACTCTAATCTATGATAAAATAAAAAGGCAAGCATATGAAATAAGTTATCCCAAAGAATTTCTAGAAATGTGTGGTAGTTATTACTCTAAAATCTGCAGAAAATTTCAAAATTGTCAAAATTTTATAGATAACCGTATAAATTAAAATATTAGTCGTAAAACGTAAAATAAGTTAGTCATAAATATAAAATGAGTTAGTCGTAAACGTAAAATGAGTTAGTCGTTTTAGACAAATTGTTCAAACAAGTTAAAATTATAACATATTTTCGTTATAATTCTCGTAGCCTTACATGTGCTCAATCAATAACAAGGAGATTTGAATAAACCAGATGATATAATCTTCATGCTGCTACTATAATAGAATCAACGTAATTCAATAAAGCGTATCAAATGACATCGACTGGAACAATCGACTCATCAAAAATTTCATATATATATATATATATACATGTATAGATAAATACACACACATATACATACATATTGAAATGATTATAAAAACAGGGGGTAAAATTCATGAGTCAAAAGTATAATGACGAGAGATACGAGATTAATTGCATTCCCAACATTATGCATCAAATATACGAGAACGAGCGCGAACAGAACGGGACGCGATTTACATTTTATCTAGATTACACCATACATGCAACATTGTGTGCAACGACGGTTTATTCACGAATGGAACAACTCTGAAACGGCGTTTAACTTTTTACGCTATTTTGAAACGCTATTTAAGTATCACGCTTAGTATAACTTAGTGTGAGATTAGAAATCTGGTTTTATAATAAGTTAAGCCTACATACTTTTCGACAATTGTCGAACAAAATGAAATCGTGACTTATATATTATATTGTAAATAAATTAAATGTATTTAATTCCTTTCAATTATTACTAATATAGGTAATCTTTCAAGATTTGAAATTAGACTCAATTTATTTTATACTGATTATTTTTAACAAATATATATTCAGCAATATGCGATTTCGTACATGTATGTGCGCGCATGCGTGCGTGTATTAAGGATATTATAATTTAATTAAGATTACATTATCAAATTAAATATAAAAGTGTTCAAATTCTGTGCAAAATTTGCAAAAAAATATTTATAAAATTGATATGACACTTATAAATTAAATGTGATATGTTATTGATAATTTAATTATATATTAATAATAATTTTCTTTACATTAATCATGCCTTTATATGTAAAACAATACGGATATTGTATACGCGTTCAGAAAAGTGAAAAAAGATTATCAGAAATGTTTACAGGTTTTTTTTCAAACAAGTTAATCGGGAAATTAGAGTCTACCAAGAGATGGTTAACGAGCTTCTATGTCTTAACAGCTGAGAGTATGCGTGCAAATCCCATAATCCCAAATATAATCTGACCGCCGTCTCCATATTTATTCCACCACTCAGAACATGAATATTTTCTGTTCTCTCGGCAAGTATCGATCGATCAACGATTCCTTCATGTACAAGTGCATAGCACGTCCACAAAGACTCCCGAAAGAAGATAGTACGCAAATTTCGCATATTAGAATAAGGATAAAACAAATGTTTGTTTAAGAAAACTTGTCACAATAATAACTTTATGCGCACCAACATTTTTCGTTATTTATGAAGAATAAGTTTTATTTAAATTTTAATATATAAATATTTAATTAAAATTGCAATTTTATTAAATAATACCTTTACATATATTATATTGTATATACTTTTTTCTACTTCGAATTATAAAATTTACGTTCGCCAAAAAATGGTGCTTGCAATATTTTTTGTAATATTTATACATGTATACATTTTTAAAAAATATTTATTTTTCTTTGAGATAATAAAACAGACATAACGTGATACTGCAATCTCTCAGAAGAAAGATTTTTCCTAAATGTTATCAGTTTTAAAAGAAATACCCAGTGATACAAATGATGATCGAAACATAAAGAATGAAGAACATCAGAGATATTGAAATGAAAAAAAACGAAGTCATCCTTCATTCGTCCTTTCGCTTATGCATTTCTCTCTTTTACTTTATTGAATTCCAATATTGTCGTCTATATTCGATTTCAATGATATTTATCGGGACGATACAATATAATTGTTATTAAAAAAAACTGTATTAAAAAATTGCAACAGCAATTCAATGATATATATCGCCTGAGAAACACAGCAAACAATTACGTCAAACAATTTATAGAATGTCACAAAGTTTTAATAATACAATTTAAATATACTTAAATAAAGTTTAAAATAAAATTAGTATTGATTGTTTCAATCAATTCATAATATTGCATTAAATGCTCTTTCGCGATGAAAATACTTAATTTTTACGCAATCGTTGTAATTTATTGTCGGAAAGAAGTAATGCAGAGGATGCATGTCTGACTAAAATGGGCGATATCTACTCGCGATGCAGGCCACGTACTTATACCACGATCGTGTCACGTGCAGATTATTCATCATTTTACTTTGGAACGCCTACTCAGATTAAGTTCCAAGACTCACCGTCAATATCGATTAGTAATTCAATTAATTATCTTCTAATAACATATATTCGAGAATGGTGTAAAATTAACATGCGACGGTGAGACAGTTATAGCTTTTTGTCATCTTTAATATATCACGATAAAATTAACAAAAATAATATTGACTTACCAATATTTGGATGTTGTAGTTTTCTACATATCCGCGCCTCACGCTCGAGTTTTTGGAAATCTGTGACAAAAGAATATTTATTTAAATATGTTTAACATAATACACACACACACACACACACACACATTAAATATAAATTCAAGAGAACTAATAAAAATAATTTAGATAACGTAATTTAGATAATGCGAGTTGCTGTTTTCTCTCATTGCCGCAATTAATAATTACATTTTTGTATAAAATTATAAAAACATTCGGATATAATTTCGTGTAACGTAATGTTAATTGCGCAGATTTGCCTGAAACGTTCGATCGCCGGACATCATGATAGAATCGAATTTCGTAATAAGGTTTCTCAACGAGTTCTCCCAGAGCTAATTCACTAAGAGGCACAAGAAAATTACATTTATCGACGATAGACTCATTTTGAGGATCATTTCCCGTTACCTCCTTACGTACACTGCGGAATCGATTCCCTGTGTAATATTTGATGGCCATTCGATTAAAATAGCTCAAAATGGCATGTCCTGATATAATGAACAATATCGAAACAACATTAAAAATATATAATGATAAAATATCGAGTTTTTCTCGATTATCTCGTACTTTCCAATTTGAAAAATTTATAATATAATATATAAAATATTAATGTAATATGTAATATATTATGTAAAATAATTACATGGGATTATTATAATTAAGAATACAAATATATCGCTTCAAAATTCATGTACAATAAAAAGATTTATTTCTTATATTCATATACATATATATAATAGTATCCTTTTTTTTTTAATTTACAAATTCCCTAAATCATATAAATGCTGATCGTTTATTACAATCGTTAATCGGTTCTTCAGTGATAGCTTATACACTCTAATGGCTTAACAAATATAAAACGAGAGTTTGAAGTGTCGAAAATGACAAATGTATAAATTGTATAAGTAGCACGAAAAACACCATGCAAATTGACGAACGAACACTTAGAAGCTTCCATTCGCATTCGCGGAAAAAGTTTACTTGACAGAGTCAAATTTTCCGCTCGCAATATGCTAAAGAGTTTCACTCGCTTACGAGCTACATGGAAAGTAATCATCGACGAAGAAAAAACTGCAGAGAACACGCACACGCTTAGAAATATCGTCTAAATGAATATTTAATTTGTCTTTCTTGCCGAGTTATAACAAGCGGATTAACACCAACACTACTCAGACTTCACAATCCTACGACATCAGTTTTTTAATAAATCGATCGTAAATTTAGTAAGGAGTATGCGTGCATGGATATCCCCCCCCCCCTCGTTACTATTTTATATGTAATTTTTTCCATAAGATTTATGTAGCTAATCAACTTTTTCAGTGACTGACAGCAAACGCATTAATCGCATTGTATGTCGGATAGAATACACAATAAACCTTCTATACTTATGATTTCAACGTGTTTAGATGTAAATTAATGAAATATAAACAAATCAATATACATATAGCTATTAATATAACTTTACTTTAGTTTTATATTACTTTAGCATTAATATATTATTCTTCTTAATTTCTAAAAAAGATATATTAAACCATCAATTTAATTACTTTAATAAATTAACAAGTAAAAATCATTAAAAATATTAAAAAAATAAATTAGCAAGACCGAGAGAGAGAGAAAGAGAAATAATAGAGTTGTGTTCGATTCCATGTTCACATATGCGACTAAGGAAATATTATATATCTAAATATAAATTGCCTCAAGCTCGAGATAATGATAAATATTATATTCTTCGAATGTGTTACGCAAACAATTGTTCTCAGAAAACGTAGTACAATTGCATTCACAATAAAATACGTAAATTGGTCAACAAATTTCAGTGACACATTTCATGGCTGAGTAGAATAAAGTTGCACGTAACGTTGCATTCGGTATTGTATAGGTACAAATTGCAATTACACGTAGATAAGTCGCACGATGAATATTCGTGGATTATCTTATTTACTAACACGTTATTACCACTGAAATTTCCATTTTTTTGGTCCTCTTTAGACTTTTTACCAAATAAAAATGTTATAATTTTCGATCGTATTTAGCACAGATGTAGTCGAGCTAAACAAAATGCTTTTATAATCTCTCCTTCCGCTTATTTATTTTTCTTCCTTGACTTCCTAAAAAATCGTAATATCTTTAGATACATGACCACTGCATCTTACGTAAAAAAATCCAGTTGCATAAGAAAAAAAATTGACGTAACGTGACCTTTTGCATAATCCGCAAACTATCTCGCATTTTATACAGACGTATTTACGTAAGCACGCTTATTAACTATATCGACAACATTAATTTCTATTTACAACCAAATATAAAGAATCATCCTAATTAAATGAGTGAGAAGAGCATATAAATCTATTTTATTTCACAGATTATTTATCACTTGATATAGCAATCCACTAATCGATAACAGCCCTTGCGATCACCTTCACCTCCAACCAATAATTAACAAGATCTATATAAAAACATATACCTATAAAAAGCGATAAAAAAGACAGAGAGAGAGAGAGAGAGAGAGAGAGAGAGAGAGAGAGAGAGAGAGAAAGATTGCGCACAATGCATATATTTACGCGCGTTTACATGTACGCGTGCTGTTTGAGCGAATCATTTCCAGCAGGTTACGTATAGTAAACGGGTTCGTTAGAAAAATATATTTTTTTTATTTTTATCTCGTTATAGAGACAACTCTGTGCAGTCTATCCTTAAGCATATGTGTGTATGTATTTTTTATAGGAAATTATGCATACTGACATATAGCGACCAAGCGAAAATCTATATGTTGTAAATCATCTAGCGTATAAAAAGTTACATGTGTGAATTTTTTCTTATATATATTTTAATAAAATTAATTTCGAAGAACACAAACAATTAATCACCAAATAAAATTGTATCATTACTTATCTATTATTATAATGTAAAAGTAATTGTGGATTATTCTTACAATCGATATTTACTTTACGGAAGCTTAAGAAAGTTAATATCTCATGATTTCGAGGTACGAAACGAATGCTCGTGCAGAAAAATCACATTTCCACGCAATCAGTTTCGCTTTTCCGGCAATCATGCGTTTCACAAAGGTGTTGTCGGAAAGACGAATATCGATACGCGTCCTTAAAGCGTCTCCTAACAAAAGGGTGTCCATCATCGAAAGGTTGATCGTTTTTGTTGCAAGGCCGATTCTTAGGAAGCATCCACCCGATGTAACGCTTCCCATCCAATAGAGCACGAATGTCACGAAAGCGTCAATAATAAAAACCACCGTTATATAGTCGCGCTGGCTTACGCAAGTCGATGCAGAGAAAGGTACGAGACACCCTTGATCTATCGTGCGTGATGAGGCTACAGGGATAATGATGCATTTTTTTCTCATAATTTCCGGACAGCAATGAATATAATATCCCGTTAGAAACTTTGTAAGAAAAATAGCTTTCTTATTGACCAACAAAAAATAAAAGTTTTTTTCATTTTTTCATTACCTACAGGTTATGTTAAAATATGTCAACAATTTTGTACAGATTACTTTTCTAAAAGGGAAAGAATAGAAATATGTAGCATTGCTGTGTAACTGTGTCAGTTTTGGGGCCTGTATTGTAAGACAATTATCTTACGAAAAAGATAATCATTGCAAAATTGCAGTATTATAAAAATCATACATCTGTTCCAAGACACTTTCTAGTTTATATTTATATTAAAAAAATTTTATTTTTAGCTCTTGTTTAAGAAATATTATCAAAAAACAAAATGATACGACATTTCTCTATAAATATAAAATACAAAAAGAATTAAAACAAGATTAAGCGAAGTCAAAAATTTCTAGTGAAAGACAAATAAGGATAAAGATTAGAAAAAAGCAAGAAAACGCGAGTATTAGCGCGCATATGTCAGAAAACATGGCTCAGTCTACTCATAATTCTCTTTGTGGACCAAAGCCGCAAATTAGAAATTCAAATGATCGCGACCCCGACGAAATCCCAACCATATCGTTCGATTAATTATTCATCGCGCGAAAAGCAGCGAAAATTCCGTCGCTCAAATGAGTCTCAAATAAATTTGTCCCCTATAATAATTTTTAGATGGTAAAAAAAGATTTCGTTCAATTAAGCCATCTTTCTGCTTTTAGATAAAAATGTTCGAGCAATTCGTAATGCATCTTATTCGAATATAAATACGAATTATTAGCCTAACTTATTGTTAGATTGTCTAGAATTATTAAATTTATATGTAACATTACATTCTCTCTGTGTACGCCTTTTTATTAATTGTTCACATAAATGATCTATGACATGGTTTCTATTTTCTATTAAAACATATTTTAATTTTTACGTTATAAAATAAATGATCAACCTGAGACTGCCATTCTAGGATAAACTATAAAACAAAAGAAATTATTATTATATCTAACGTAAACAAAAATAAAAACAAAATTAAACATATCCCTAATTAAACAAAAAACTAAATTAACACAACAATAAGTATATATAATAATATTATAAATTAATATTATAAAATAAACAGTTTGTTATAGTCGCGCAGTTTATTACAAATTATTATCGTAGTGCATTTTCTATCAACCGTCATTTCTCTATGTTTGATCGCGAGTGCATGCATGAATCCACACACACACACACACATGCCAATTAATTTAGTTATACTGATTGGTTTCGTTCGCTGCGAGGACAAAGGGCTCCATAAACGAACGAATGAATAAACAATCTTGTACGTGTCCACAGGATTATATCTGAATAATTTCGCAGGGTAAAGAACGATCGCATGTGCGTTTCGACGTGCATCACGAAAGAAATGGAAAGAATTCTATCCCTCAGATCATGTCAGAGAGTATATACAAGTGCACCGTGTCATACTCGGTCGCAGTGTCTCGAAATCGGAAATGACGGGAAATGACAGTCAAGCGCGAGTCGATTCGTGAGGAAATCGGGGAATTTCTATTCCTCCTACTCCGTCACAACGATTGGTTCCTGTAGCTCGCTATTTGCTTCCCTCTCCTTTCTAGGATACGAGTTTTATTCGTTGCGCAGAGCGCGTATGCCATATTGCGGAGACCGCGGCCTCCGTTAGGTCAAGAGGTTACTGGAGCAAGGTCGTAGTCTGAGCTGATTCGCACGAGCGAACGATTCTTGTCCGAGAGGAAAGAACAAGGACGGGGTAGAGGAGGTAGAGGAAAAGAGATATAGAAAGAGAGACAGTGGGGGAGGGGGAGGGGGGGGAGGAGGAAGGAAAAGATGATAAAACAGAGAAAGATGCAGGTGAGAAGAGCAGAAGGACAAAAGGAATAGAGGGAGGATTTACTCTTTTACCCTGACACCTTTTTACCTTTTTATCACGCCTCGGCTCGGCTCGGCTCGGCTCGGCGATGCCAAAGATAGATTTATCTCGCCGCATCGTGCCCGCAGAAAATGGCTATAAATTGAACGAAGGGGGAAGGAAGCGAGGGACGGAAACGAGTACGCCAGCTCCGCGGGAGGAAATTATGCAATTCCGAGTGCTCGCGAGTCGTTCAGCGCGGCGAAGATGAGACGCGACTTTCCTTTGCGATATTCCCTCTCTCTCTTAATGCATAGGAATTGAATCTTGATCAAACGAGGCAGCGGTCTGGCCCAGAAGGGTCTGCCGAGAGCGATATATCATTACTACGCTACATTCATTGAAAAAGTTACGTTTTCATCGTGAAATCATTAAATAGTATATCATGAAAAAATGTTATAAAACGGACGGATTTTTTAAATAAAATCTATAATTCAGAAAAAAATTATTTTAAAAAAATTTTAGCAAAAAACGAAAATTAAAATGAACTTTAAATCTTAAAACTTTTTTATTTTTCCACGATAAGGTAATGTGAATTATTCGGTCTTAAGAAAAAATTTAAAAACTTTTTAAAAAATTATTGTAAGATGTTTTAAAAAAGGAAGTGAAGATAAAAACATGTTCTGTATGGATTATTTTATTAGAACTACTTGTTTAATTTTTGCACCTGTCGTTTCTGAATTCGTTTCTGAAATATGCAGAAAAGGCCGTTTTTTAATTTTCGAAACGATGTGCAACTTTATGAAAAAAAAAAAGAATAGAAAAATATTTTATATATAAAATATGGATTTGTAGGGAATAAATGAGCTTAAAAACTCATAATTTTTTTGGATCGGACAACTGATTTTCCTGAATGTAATAATAATTTGAGAAAAATTTTTTCTCCATTTTTCAAAGTCTATATCTTTAAACGACGTCTGTCAATTTGTAAAATATTTTTTATAATTCAATTCTTATTTTCTTGGTTATCAAATGATATTCAAATTTTAATTTAAGGTATTTTTCGTCTCAATACTATGATTCTTTGAGTTATCACTATTGAGAGATGTTAAAAAAATTGTGTTAAAATTTGGTGGCCTATTTTTTTGCAGATGCTTATGGTACTAACATAATTATTTGGTTGATGTGTCATTGTTATTCAACTGTTTGACTACCTGTGAATATTACATTATGCTTTCGACGGAATTTCTTTCACGATGGTTAACCGCAATGCATTTACGTGCATGTGAAACGACGATAGCGACCACATTTGCGTTGTACTCGGATTAGAATACTGTGTTAGATATTGTTCGCGTCGATGCACTGTACTCAAATGGTTCAATCGAGTAATCAAAACAATACTTCGTTAATCGTACGAACAGAATTGTTACGCGTAATTATTTTGGACGGTCATGTTCTTATTCTACGAATCATGCGTGCTTGCAAATTTATACGTTAAATTTAGTTTTGCAAGAAACTAGTAGAGAAAATAATTTTACAGAGAAAGAAATATCGTACAATTAGTAGAGATCAATTTTATAAAAATTATCTTATAAAAGAAAACAAAAAGAAGAAGGAGCATATGCTCCCCATTCAGTCGCTAATTCGCTATCTTTATATGTCATTTAATTTGTAAATAGAGGATTTTAATTCGCCTAACTTAATTATATTGTATCATGAATCGTCATCTCACCTTTTGCTGTTGCAATAAAATAAATGAAATAAAATGTAATAAAATTAATATCCTTTCTCTCTCTCTCTCTCTCTCTCTCTCTCTCCATCTCGCGTCATTCGAAAGCACTGCTTTCTTACGGATACGTGTAGCGTGAAAGCGATTGAATTTCAATAGAGGCTGATATGTATAATTTTTCGGACCAATGATCTCGCTACAAACTGGCAACTGCATTGGTCCCGTGTAGGAATGCGTTGGCAGGTTGACAACGCAACGGCGCGACGTGTCTCATGACTATTGCTTTTAGACATGTCGTACGAATTGTTATCATAAATCCACGTTCGATCATAAAAAATCGCAAAATACGCGAAATGAAAATAGCTACTCGATCAAGTTGATGGCACAAGTTTTTGACCTTCCTCGTCTATATGTATGTACATATACTTTAACGGAATCATATTTAAAGATCTTTTAAAGAATTACAAACAAAAAGAAAAAAAATTTTCATGTCTTTATTCTTGTTTCAAAATATTATAGTAATTATATAAAAAATAATAAAACACATAAAAATAAAATACTACATAGACATACATGCATTAGAATTTTCTATGGTGTTAATTTACGTAGAAAAAACAATTGACAAAGTAACAAAGAATTGCAACATTTTGACATATATTGACATATATCAAAGAGATATATGATAAATTATAAAAGATAACAGTTCTATGCACATATGTTACTGTATGTTGCACATTTTCTGCAATCGAGTAACCATGCGAGAGAAATGGCCATATAAAGATATGAAAGCAGCTCTTTTGCAATGGAAATTTACGATGACGATAGGAACGCTGTTACCTCGGAAATGTTTCAAACGTTTCTGGAAAGAACGTTCGAGAAGAAGAACCTTTCTTTTCTGTGTCTTCGACCTGTCTGTACTATATGTACGTATTTATATCATGTAAAGGAAAGCGAGTAACAGTCTTCTCTCACCATTCTAAACGAGCACATATCTTTCCCTTTTTTCAAAAAATATTTCAGATTCAAGAGTGAAACGCGTCCGAATATGATGATCACTTACCTCTAGTTGAGAGTTTTTTGGTGTTTATAATTTTTGCAGCAAACTCGTGACCGGTGCTTTTTTGCACACATCGTCGAACCACGGAGAAGGCACCTCTGAAATCATAAGAATAAATATGTTATGTTGCAATGTAATTGTTATTCGAAAAATAATAATATAAATAAATGTGTCTAACGACGTACATAGTATGGACATATTAAAGCATAATGTTATAAATAACAAACGAGTTACGATTCTCCTCGCTAATTTATTGCATGTATCGAAACTGCTCACTGAGAGAAAAGATTTTGTTATAGGGACAAATCAAGGGAAAGCAAATGTGATATTTGTTAAAAAAAACAGTCGATTTGTATATATATATAAAAGTCGTAGACGGTTGCAGGATCTGAAATCGTAAGAAATTGACTAATTCTAGTTAAGTATTCTCGCTATATTTGACTGTGCTTGATCGGTTTCCTACAACTTAAGACTCCACGATCATCTACGAATTCTATGTAAACGAGCTAAAGTCTATCCAAAAGATAGG